TCGGTGGCGGACGAAAGCACGCGGGCAGGCTGGAGGATTATGGAGTTAATCTTCCCAGCACTGCCGAGGGCCCCTCAGCCCTGCCGGAGCCCGGCCCGCCGCCTGGGAGCCTCAGCACGGCCAGGACCGCTGGGCTGCCCAAAGTCCAGTCAGGAAAGCGGCTTGGCTTTCATGTTAGTACGTCGTGTGAATCTATTGCTCCTTGCCAGGCGTGTTGTTACCCCGCAAGTGAGGCTGTTTCCTTGGCTTTTCTTTTTTTCCTTCTGGTGATAGCCCAGTGCCTGCAGTCTGCAGCTGGCCAGAAGCTCAGAGCAGAGGCTAGGTGCCCATTAAAAGATTTACTCCTGTGTTGAGAGTGTACTGCGGGAAACACTGCAGGCAATTAAATCCAGCCCAAGCGTGTAAAGCTGCATCCTGTGTTGTACTGTCTGTCTGGTGTAATAAGGGCTGGTAAGCAAAGGAATATTCCTTGCTGCTGCTGAAAGTCATGGCAGGATGCAAAAATGAGCCCTGGAGAGTAATGTTTGATGGTAAATTAATGGAGTCTTGCATTTTCCTGTAATTAATAGCACCAGGTGGCTTAATGGCTTATTTTCAGGTTGGAGTGCCCTTTTCTGAGTCCCCATCTCACTGACTTGTAAGCTGTGAGGCTTGTCTGCTTTCCTCTGTGCCCGAGTTTCCCAGCTGTTCCTGGGCGGGAGCCTGCGCAGCAGCCGCAGAGCGTGGAGGGTGCAGTCCCTTTCTCATCGACATCGGCCACCCCAGCTCCCTCCAGTACCTCCTTGGAAGTCTAGGCAAAGCAGGGCTTCTCCTCTAACGCTTGCCTTTTTTTGCCCTGTCTGCAGTACCACAGCAGTCTGGCTTCTCTAAACGGCCTCGAGGTTCATCTGAGGGAGACTTTGCCCAAAGACTCTTCGTCCTCAGCCAAGACAACCTACAGATTCACTCACTACGACTGCGTTCAGAACGTACTCATGGGTAAGCCTTTGTCTTCTGGAATAGCAGCTGCTTCGGAGGAGGGAATAAGGAGGAGAACAGGGTTTATGGTAACCTTTTCTCATGCTTCAGGCAACTTCTCAGAAACATTGTGTGCTATAACTCTTACCAAATAGCCTGGATGTAAGGCCCTATTGAGGAAGCTTTGTTTTTTGTGAGTTTATAATCTGCTGAAGGCTTGTTGATCGCTTTGGTTGAGAGCCAGAGGCCGCTGGGAGGTGGAGCAGCTGCCGTTGGGGCTTCACTCAAAGATGTTGCTGGGGGTTCTGCTAAGTACTGGGTCCAAGGACAGGGCTCAACATCCTCTTCAAACCCGCCCTCCCTCTCCGACTTCATTCACCCCTGGTGTGATGCCTTTTGTCCCACTGTACAACATGAGTGTTTGTCAGTTGTTTCTGGCTATGAGAAGCAGGAACTGGGAACAGGTAGTAGCCAGCAGTTCAGAGGGTGCTGCCCTGGATCTATGGGTAGACCATCGACATGCAGAAAGGCCCGTGCACATATTGCTCCAGTTCATTCTAACGTTTCTGGCAGCCTCACAGGCAGTGTCCCACCTTTTGTCCCACTGTACAACATGAGTGTTTGTCAGTTGTTTCTGGCTATGAGAAGCAGGAACTGGGAACAGGTAGTAGCCAGCAGTTCAGAGGGTGCTGCCCTGGATCTATGGGTAGACCATCGACATGCAGAAAGGCCCGTGCACATATTGCTCCAGTTCATTCTAACGTTTCTGGCAGCCTCACAGGCAGTGTCCCACCTCCTTCCAGAAGAAGTGCTTTTTTTTTCCAGTGATTCTACATAACCCAGGTCTCAGGCCTTCTTGTCACCGCTCTCATGTGTGGGGTGGAAAGCTACACCGGGCTTTTTGTTTGTGCATGGCTGAGCACGGTGCAAGCCGCTGACTAATTTCATGGAGGTCACACTGGGGCTTAGGGTGTCACCCAGTCTCTGTTCTGTAGATGTCCAGGGTCTGTGAGAGAGGTCCGCAGCCTTTTCCTGCTTAGTGAATGGGGGCATGCTCCTCTACAGAGCGGGCTTTTAACGCACACCCCTTACTCCTGTTCTGCAGCCAACCTGCCCCATACACCTGGCCCTCTGGATCGGCACTTCCTGAGAGCTGCTACGCTGATCCACTCCGACTTCAACCAGCTTCCGACTGCTTCAGAAATGTTAATTAGGTAAGGTGTGCTTATAACTCCCTCCTCTTCCAGGCACAGGAGTGCTGTGTGGCACACAGAATAGGCAGAAGGGGGGAACCCCTTTTCTAAGGCTGGCTGAGGTTTGGCACATGTTGTAATCACACTGGTGTCTCTTGCCAAGGGTCAGTCATGTCGCCATATTCCCTGAAGTTTGCTCTTTAGATGTGGGCTACTTAATATTCTGCCTGCAGTGTGAGCTGGGTGTTGAGAGGCTAGGATGGCAGCAAGGCAAGTGAACTGAAGGCACAGCTGAGTTGTGCCAGGGGTTTGGATTAAGGTATACTGCTAGAATATTGTGAGTTCCTGGCACAATAAAGTTCTAAGACGCAGTTTTAAATATAGCTGTTCCTAATAAATTTGTGTCTCGGCTGGGAGCCAAAGGCACCCGGAATTGGCAACCTAGATTTTGTTTTCTTGCACGGCTTGTTGGGTTGGAAACACACTGTAACGTGCGTGGCAAACTCAATTGTAATGCGCCAGGCAAGATGGTCTTACCACAGCCAGAGCCCTTCCACACAGCCGTGGCTAAAGCCGATCTTGTGCTACAGCACTCCCCCTGATCTCGGGGAGGATGGTTATGTTGTGCGTGTGCAGGGATTCTGCTTGCCTGGCTGTGCTTGTTTGTCCAAAACATGATGAAATAAAGATGCTTCTGGGAATTACACTGTTTCACTTCTCTGACTCAGCTTGCCAAGGGAATGTGAATCATACACTTCAATGCTGGAGAACTCCTTCTTTAGCATTAGTTTGACTCTGGCTCCTTAAATCCTATACCAGCTAAGCTGGCGTATTCGGTGTTGCCCCAAAAAAAGCAACTCCATGTGTGAATCAGACTGAGTAACAAGATGACTAAAACTGCTTTCTTGTATGGAGAGTTGTCACAGAAGGGTGTCAGCAAACATACAGTTGCTGCTTTCCTCTGTCAAGGAGGAATGCAGAGTCCTTTGCTTTGCTCCCTGCCAGCCCTCTTGCAGGTAAATACTGAGTGGTGGTTTTTAATCAATGACTTGAGCTTTCGTGGTTACAGTATCTGACTATTGCCTGAGCTTCATCACATGTGTAACTAAACAACCTCATATGGTTCCTGCTGCAAGGGTGCTGTGCTAGGATTTGCTTATAGACAGGAGCAGTGAGATAGGTTCCTCCAGGAAAGAAGGGGTGTTAGACACGAGGAGTCTTTAATTACCAGCTCTTGATGTACTGGGCTGGTCTGCCAGCAAGGGAAATACTCAGAGGATGACTACATGTATGGGTATTAATGCTGCTGAGTAGGTCCCATGACATACAATGCTTTCTCTTTCAGGATGCCAGGACCCTTGAGAAGGAGGGTCTGGTTCCCTGTGGCCTTCTGGTAATACACTGCAGGGTTTTGGTGCCCATTTTAGCTCTGTGTTCCTTTGCTCTGCTGAGACCTAAAAGTCCCTCTCAATAGCTGGGGGTCCAGTGCCACAAGCATCCCAATGCCCAGCCTGGTGAGTTGAAGGGGATCTTGCACAAAGCTGTAAATCCTGACCACTGCCTTCTCTCCTGCCCTGCTAGGAACGCCTCCACGGCCGTGTATGCCTGCCGGAATCCCATCCATGAGACCTACTTCCAGCAGCTGGGTGCTCCGCTCCGCAACTCGGGTGTTCCCAACCCTCACGACAGTGCATTCAGCTTGCCGAGCAAGGCCAAGCAAAAGCTGCTGAAGCATGGAGTGAATCTGCTTTGAACTGATGCACTGAGGCAATGTATGTCAGCCCATTCTGAAAGTTAGTTCGTCTCTAATAAGTAAAATCTCAAAGCCATTTATTCCATAGGAGGCACAAGGCTCTGTGCTACATTTATGGGGTCTCCAGCCTGCCTGGCCCGCAGGAAGGGGCACTCCTACTGCCCTATTCTTGCAGCACATTTTGTGCTAGTGCAGAGTATCATTCGCGTTAGCACTTACCAAAGACTGCAGACAAAAAATAGCTGTGTTGGGGTGCTTGGTTTACATTGACTGTTCATGGTGCTCTGCTGCCACAGGCAGAGACTCCTAGAGTGCCTTGACCTAAAGTAAAACCTCTTCTTTCTCTAAGCTATACAGACACCAGGCTACTGGGCAGTACTGGCTTTAAGAGATGTCAGTCAGACACTGCATCTGCCTGGAGTTCTGTGCCTACACTTGCCCTGGTCAGACTTGGGCTTTATTTATATCTCTTAATCTATAGAAATGATCCCCTGCCATGACATAACGCCTTACCTCGATTAAGAGAGCCTGCATGTTCTCAGACTAACTGGAATAGAACAAGCACTGCAAAACTCGTAATCCTCCTACAGGTGCTGTCGGGAGGTTTTTATACTGTAGCTGAATCTGGGAGATCCTTGTCCCTCCATGCGTGCCTGATCGGTGATGTGCAGCACAGCGCTGCCTTCCCCGCTGCCCACCAACGCAGCTGTAACCTGCCGGCCTCTCAAGGGGCCGTGGTGACGGTGGTGGTACGAATGCACTACACCTCCTGCCTGCTTCTCGGCCTTCTGCTTCCTCCCCTCCCTCCTGTTGGAGGACCTTGTTTCGCCTCCCTGCTCTTGCTGCTCAGTTTGGTCACGCTCTGTCGACAGAAAAGGCAAGTGGGAGCCCCTTAAGCTGATGGGACCAAAGAGGCTTTTGTAGCTCGGCAGCTGTTCTCGTGCTGCTCAGACAGACGGCGAGTCCCCTGTGAGCGGCTGGCTGGGGGGATTGGCGGTGACGGCTGCTTAGACCTGAGTGATGGATACCTGCGTCTGACTGTGCTATGTGTTTCAAAGCCCGCTGCTGTTACGTACACACACATCACTGTGAAAATAAAAGAGAGTCTCCAAGACTCACCCAAGCGCTATGTGTCAGCGGCCAGAGTCCCACTTACTGCTTGGTCGTCATGTTTGTGATTCCTGGTGTGCAGGTTTGGGCTTGGGTGACGCGTTACCCCTAGTTAGCTCCCTGCCGAGGGCGAGTTCCTGCACTGGTGGGTTGAACAGGCAGTGCCTGTTGCTTCGATCGCCCCTGCAAAGTAGCTACTTGTCAGGGTCTTAGAAGATTGCTAAAGGTAGATGTGTTACTGGCTTTTCTGTGAAATGGTGAGCGGGCTTGTGTCAGTGTTAGCAGGGCTCTCCCAGGAGCTGGACACGGTAAAGTCACCATCGTCACAGCTTCTTGTTCCACTCTGACGGCAGACAATTCCCGAGGTAGCTCTGCCATTGCAGGACTCCTCTGCAGACCTTGGCTGAGAAATTCAGTGGAGTATCAGTTGCCTGTCAGCTAATGGCAGTGTGGATGTGAAACCTCATTAGAAAGCCTGAGCTACAGCCATCCAGGAGACCTCCTGCCTCGGCGATACCCATGCAGAAGGGGGCACAGAGTAAGGCACCACTTCCCTGAGTTACAGACAAGCTGCTTTGGTTCTGGAGTGCAGCACAGAGGGGCACCATGCAGGTGAGGGATGAGGTGGTGGGAGAAGGCAGGAGGAAAGACGGTTGTGTGCTCCAGCCCTCTTGCGATGCTCTGGGCTCCTCTGATGTGCTCAGCCAAGAGGCTCCCTCTGTTAGATGCTGCTCTGTCTGTCTCCTCTCTGCACACTCGGCAGCCCTGATCCAGGTTCCCTCTGCGATACTCAGGAAGCAAGGAAGGCTTGGACTGCCAGAAGGAGCAGCGAGACAGCTCCAGACTGCTGTGCTTCCCCGAGGAAGATCCTGCTGTCTCCTAGCTGGGTGTTTTGGGAAGTGGTTGTGTGCTCTATCAAGAAACACGAAGAAGTTGAAGGAAAAGCCTGAGAGGGACAGGAGGGAGTTTTGGCACAGCAGCAAAGCACAAAATAGATGCTTTTGCCTGCTGTCATCGGGAATCTTCCGCTACAATCTGCTATGCCGTCTGTCGGCAGTGGAACAGCTGGGGCAGCTTCATTCCCTTTTGCTTCTTGAACTGCATCTGGCCGATCAAGACCTACTTCTGTCCTTTGATCGTTAAGAGGAAAGTTGTCTTGGGGTAGTACAGCAAAGAGCTCCAGGCCCTTGATTTAATGGTTGTGTTGTAGAGAGGATGTTTAAAAATTGGTCATTTCAAGTATAACAAGAGGAGGAGCAGCTGCTGCACTGGCTGTGTCCTGTCTGAGCGTGTGAGAGTGCTGCTGCCGAGGGCCAAGGGCCTCACGCTGAGTGATTTCTTGCACTGCCAAATCGCCCTGTGCTCGGGGCGATGTCGGGCACTGGCTTTCAGGCAGTCGGGCAGGAATTGAGTGGCAGCCCAGCACCCTCCGCCCGAGGGCTGCTCCTGATGAAGCTGCCTGCTGCCTTTGATGCGTCAGTGCAGGCAGCTGGAAGCATTTTCTGAGATGGTTTCTTTGAAGACTCTCCGGCAGGCTGGTGGCCCTGCTGCGGAGCCTGGGGAAGGTGCTGAGCAGCGGGTCCGCGCTGGTTGTGTTGCTGGTGGGGGTCTCTGCTGCCTTGGCACAGGCAGCCGTAACCTGCAGGCTGTGCAGGCTGCCTGGCTCTGCAGGGGTCTGGTAGATGCAGGGAGATGCAAAGCAGACTCCCTGTGCTCCCTGGCAGCGTGGGCTGCGGGTGAAATCTGGGCCAGGGAGGCTGTAACTGGTCAGGACAGAAGTGCCTCAGGCTGGGTATTTTAAAGCAATACCCTTGCTCACCATATCACTCGCAAACTCAGCCAGAGCCCATTGCCTCCTCCCACCCTGGAGCTCCTGCTTTTCCAGCGTGTTTCTCCCCAGCAGCAGCTGGCTGAGCTGCTGGGATAAGCAGGACCCAACCCCTCAGTGTTTTGCTTGACCCTGGAATAGTCACACCAGCAGGCAGAGCCCATTCTGTTTTCAGCACAACTGTTTATTGATAATCTTTGCTTATCCACTGTATGAATGTTACCAAACTGTAAGACAGTTACCAAGCCAGCCTGCTTCCTCAGGGTCTGGTTCCAGGTAGTCAATGCGTGTAGAAATCATGCACTTCAGATATTCTGTAACAAGACAGGTGTAAAAAATATCTCGGATGTATTTGAAATCTCTGCCTTATCTTGCAATCTAATCACTGAAAAATCTGTAAAGAAATCGTAGGGGAGCGGGGCTGCGTTCCCTCCCGGGCAGGGTGTGGAGGTGAGCAGTGCCTGGAGCCGTGCCGAGACCACTGAGTCCAGCGCAGCCGCTTCCCGACCAGAGGCGCAAGGACAGCGGTGAGCATCCACGACACACTGTGCTTCACGTGTAGCATGTTATAAACTGTACAGTAGCTCTGTACCCAAAACCCCCAAACGAACCCTGGATGCTGGGTGTGTTGGTTGCTGGGTGGGCAGGACTCCCGGGGGGTGGAGGGCTCGTTCCTTGGGCTGCAGAATTAAACACCCGCTGCCTTTGGAAACCTTTCCTTTGCTGTCAGGTATGCGTGAGCTGCCTCTGTACGCTCACCCTGGCTCCAGGAAAGAAGATCGAGCAGCAGAAGGAAGCGTGACCTCCTTTCTTCCCTGGCCTTTGTCTAGGGACAAACAAAAGCCCTGCGCTGCCTTCCCAAACAGTGTCCCTGCCCCTGCAGGGGCTTCCCAGCTTGAGCTGTGAAAACCGAAGGTTGCAGATAAAGCAAGGAGGGGATTTAGGCAACTGATATTGCTCTTGGTCAGATTAAAGAGTAGGGCTCGATGTGTGCTGTCCCCTCGACAGGGTGTACATCGGGACGCTCCTGGGCTTGCTGCCTTGCTGGGGCTGGGGGCACCGGTAGCTGCGAGAGCAGCCGGGCAGCCGGCACCGTGCCCGCGTGGCAAAAAGGTTTCTCAAGGCAGGAGGGCCTGGGAGCCACACGGCATGCGAGGGAGGAAGCGGGAGCCCCTGGGCTCGTGGTGCAAGAGCTCTCTGCGGGCAGAGCGTTGCCCTGCCTGCACGGCCCCGTCTGCCCCAGCCTGAGCAGCCCCTGCCCCGTGGGTGCTTTGTGCCTGCTGCAGCCCCCAGCGTCCGTCTGTCCATCCGGGGACTGCAACCGGGACAGGGGCAGGCTGAGCGCAGTGCTGGGCTGTTTGGCTGGTTTGCTGTTCTGGTGTGTGTGTGTGTGTGTGTGTGTGTGTGTTGTTTTGATGACCACGAGAAGTTTTACA